CCCACAAGCATCCCGAGGTCTCCAGGATCCATGTTATCATGGTACACCATGGCGGCAATAAGGGGACACCACAAACCCGTGGCAGCGTTGACGACGAACAACCTGGATACACCCCCTTTGATGAGACGTTGTGACCTTCTGTGATCTCGAGACCCCAAGAAAAGGTGTAGGAAGCAGCAAATGAACGCAAGGAGACGAGACACACTAGCCTCAAAAAAGAATATGTTTTCTTGGTATTGTGCATCTCAGCTAAAGCGCCGAAAAGAAGAAAAGGCAAGAATTTGAGAATCAAAATTAAATAAAAGAACGGTTTGTAACGTGCCTGAACGATGGAATGTGTGCGTAATGCGTCCGGTAGTCTATCGGGAAGCCTAGGAGTGTCGTTAGCAAGGGTACGATGATTGGTTACGCTTGGACGGGCGAATCGATAGTGGTGTGCAAGGGTGTCGGTAGTGCATGGTGCACGGCGCAGGCGGCATCAGCTGGATATCAAGGGCCAGCCAAGATCATTTATAAGGGCTGATGGGCGCTGTCCAGTAATGGACGTGGAACCCATGGGCCTCAAGGGAGGAAAGACTCAAGGGAGAGCAAGAGGGTCCTATCCCAGAAAGGTGCGGTCCTAACCGTACTGGGTCCGCTCCCGTCTTCCCGTCTCCATTTGTTTTCTCCTTTGTGAATTCCCAGTTACTCGTTGGGTGGTCATATTCCTCAATAGAATAGACCCCCAAAGTTCTTACAGCATGCGAGAACAGGATGTTGCAGCCGGCAGACCAGGGTTGATACGGAAACAGATCAGAGCCAAACACAACTCACCTTAGGAAGCAAGCTTGAAAGAGAGATCTTCGGAAGCGGACCGCTGAAATTTCAATCTTTCAGATCACCGCGGAGCGAAATTGCGATGGAGCTCGCTGTTCAGCTTAGCCTCCAACAATTCTGTCCCGATGATCAGTCGCCAAAGGAGCAAAAGCTTTTGAATCAACTGACCACCACACATCAATTGACCGTATTCACGTCAGCGATCAACTTTATCGACCACCACTTCAGTCAATACCCCAAGGTGAGGATGCACCAGGCAGACTAGGCGTGTAATCGTCAGCGAAGTTGGGACGGGCTTAATTCTTGCTCGCCGGGGGTGCTGGGAGTCCGTGTCGCTGGACAAGGATTAAACTTGATCAAAATATGACCCTGGTCCGCTGGCGTAGGATGATCAGTGATCGCCTTGTCGGCACTCTTCTGAGTCAAATCTGTCAACCCATTCCAATTAGTCTCGTTTGTACTCCGTACTTTTTGTACGTATGTGAACATTCTGTCAAAGCCCCTGGTTTTAATGGAGGCATTTCATTTCTTCATAGATTGGTACCCTCAGGAATTGACGCCAAATGGTCAACAATTACTGTGCAATTAATTATATGATCGGGTGGAGTGAAAGCGTGGGGCAAGGGAAAAAGGATGGGAAAGTCAAAGGGATACATGGGCCGACGTGATCATTGAAGTTTCTCACTCAAGCGCCGCGGTCTCTCACAGTCCAAAGACTTTGGAGGCACACAAACGCCACTGGAGTCGACTCTTGGACGAAGCTGAGGAGCGGCATGGACCGTTGATACGAGTTATAAAGCGGGGAAGAACAACGAGAAATAATCAAGGAGGATGGCGATGGTTAGGGTAGTGGACTCAGAAGCCCAGAAAGATCGTATTGAGCCATACCTCTTGAGTATAGGTGAAGGTTCCAGATAAGGGCGATAGCCCCTTGTTCTTCAACAGATACAATGGCTGACTCGGCCTTGTTTGAGAGAGATGTCAATAACTATAGCCAAGCGTATGGCATCGGTGGCCATGCCCATTCCAAGTTAACTTCCTTATTTCGGTATGCCCTGGTAGTAATGGGATCCTTGTCCGGCTGAATTTCTTGCAGAGACTAGAGCCGGATATATGATCGGGTGATTGAATAGACTCGTAGGATAATAGGTTCCCGCCTGTCGAACTGTTTTGACTATCTGAACAAGGCAAGTATGCACATGAAGTATCGAAGGGGAGTGCTACTTATCTTATATAACCTCGTCACTTGCCATCGACAAGAGCCACTGGTTTTGTGTCCCCATCATGGCAATTTGCACACATATGCAAGTAATTGCCTGATACCCGCAGTCAGAAGCGCGCAACGCTACAGGCAGGGGTGTCCTGTGCGAGCCATACGCCAGATCAATAACCTGAATCGCGGAAGGCAAACATGCGAGCCATGTAAACCAAAACCCGACGATTCAATATGAAAGAACTGAGCGGCTCGAATTGCAGTTGCCAATCTCGCAATGGAGAGCAAGCATCTAGTATTGTTTCTGCTCCAGTTGCCAGTTGCCGGTGGGCTATTGATGTAGCATGACATTACCAGGGCTAGGTTGAACAAAAGCCTTTGAACGAACGCCACCTCGGCTCTTGAAAGGCTCTCAGACATTCAACGGAAAACCCAAGGGAATATCGCACTGGTTCCTCTGCTTGAGGTTTCCCACAACTTACAGCATCAAGGTTCAGAGCTCAAGACGCTTGACATGGTCTTGTGAAAAGGTGTGGGTGTGAGATCTGCACAGGGAACCGGGGTCATCACTTCAGGGGTGCAACAGTAGCTGTAGGGATCGTCCTTGCTTGTAGCGCCTAGCTTTACTCAGACCTACTGATTGACCAAGCGAGCAAGCAAGGCTGGCCTAACTGGGTCGTGAGATCCTGCAGCATGTATGTACTATTGGGATGCTAGTGATAGACATGGCGCGCGGGCCGCTCGCAAGGGAACCGCCTTACAGCAGTCATCAAGCTCTTGGTGGACGACGCGAACCAATTCAAATATTGGTTCAGGAGACCAATCATGCCTCTCAACTGTAACGACAGCCCTCTTGAGGTAACGAAGTTGGGACTTGATTAGCGTCAAATTCTCGCACCCGCTCCCCACCCCACCTTTGGGGCCCAAGAACCCGAATCTCATCGGCCATTACCTGAGAACATGCCTTGGCATTTCATCGTTGTGTTATAATGTTGGCTTTCAAACATCATTTTAGATGCTGTCGTCTGTGACTATGCTTTCCAGAACCATCTTCGGACAGCACTTCCAGACACAAGGCCAAAATCCCTCGGCAGCTAGGCTGACAACCCTTTGGCTTAGATTTTGACGACATGAGGCGGTTATTCGAAGCAAAACTGGGAGGGAATCGTTCAACCCGACACTCACGGAGGCGAAACAAATCTTGTTCTCTACCCCGCCTTGTTCCTCCGGATTCCACTCCGTCACAATGGTTGAGTGCCTTCCATGTACCAAGTCGACCCGGACGGGCGAGTTTATAGGGCAAAGTGAGTTATGGCTCACGACTTCGCTTCACAGTTGTTGCACGGGGACCTGTAAGACATCTTCAGCGACGTTTCACAGATTTGCTTGTCCCAACTCGCGGTCTGAGTCACACATCCTTTAAGTCGAGCATGCAAGATGAGGCTTCTTGGTCCAGTTGTTCACCATCTCTGTCTGATATAAGATGGCACATTGGCGGGATCAGCTCCATGTGTTGAGATTTTGCCATGCTGCTCAGTTGAAACCATCCCGATGACCAGGGTTAGGCAGCTACAGCACAGACTGTTCCAGGTCCGGGACATGTCTCAGTGAGCTCGAGGTGCATGGGGCCGCATTCGGGCCACGTGATAAGGATTGTCAAGTCTGCAGAACAATGAGTAAGGTATATTGCTCGGATGCTTCTTTGCTTCGCCAATGATCTAACGTTCGTTCCTCAAGATTGGTGCAATGCCCTGGTATACCATGACAGTCCAGAGTTGAATAAGCATCAACCGAAGCTTTGGTGAAATTCGAAGCAGCCAAGTGATACATGGCTTATGTGGCTATGCTTCGAACTCGTTCAAAGCCTTTGGAGGAACAACAAAGACCTCGTGTTGTACGCTTGGTCAGGGGCATTTGATTTCGTCCTGCCCGCGGGAAGTCAGACTAGTGACAGGGCCATGGTGGCGGTATTGCACAATGGATTTGTTGCAACTGGTCGGCTCAAGCCGAGGGTATCCTCAACAACCACGCCAAAGCTTGAGTAGTAAAAGCTGAGACAGGTATACAGGGGAACAAAGCGCGTACCATTATTCCTCCAGAAACTCCATGCCTCGCCATTGACACTCCTTGCTTGTAGGAAAAAGCAAATGCCCGCATCTCTGCACTGCAAGCTCAATGTCGTACCACCAAGTTCTTCGGAAGTAGGGCAGAAAAAGAATCCGTTGACCGGCTGATGTAAAACTGGATCAGCGAATCGAGCAAGATGTGTGCATTGCAGGCGGAAAACAAGCGAGCGAGGACTGGTGCAGATGAGGTTGGTGGTTCTCTGAGATCATGCAGGTCATGTTGCACACGCATCGCACATCGCACATTAGAGATCTGGCACTTTCCCTAACGTCGTCTCTTCCCCTCTTCCTGACCTATCGCGCGACCTCCCTCGTTCTGGACAGCGTGGTGTGGTTGTACATGACTGCGCCTCTAGAGAAGTGCGTGCTTGTGTGTCGATCAAGCTACCAATGGGACGGCATTGTTCGCGTTGTACAACTTTGCAGGCCGATATTAGTTCGGAAGCCCATAGAGCTTTAGCTTTTATTAATTGAGGGAGGTATGAACTGAAGCTCGGCGTTTGCTGATAAGCCCAGTAAATACCTGGGGTGAGATTGAACGTCGCAAATCAGGTCCATTTGCGGACGCGTTTGCGACTTCACATCAATTGGAGGCCTTAATTAGTAGGTATATTGGCAAGGGTTTTCGTGGCATTGAGAATGATTGTGAAGTTGAAGGAGGACGTTTTACTTCAGCGTTAAAGTCAAGATAAGGAAGGAAGGAGTTCGCCCTTAGGAACTAGAGTTGTGATGTTGGAAGGAGTCAGGTATTGCCGGGAGAGGAAGGTCTTGCTCCACTTTCTCCCATTTGCATCCAAATTTCCATCTCGCCTTCTCAATTCCGGATATCAACAGAAAATGCTTCCTCATCCAATAAAACCAAGGATCAGACTGCCTGAGGCTAGGTTAGTACGTAGGGAAATAGGTAGGATCAATCTTGAGACTGCTGCCATCCAATGCTTAAGGTTATGATTGTGGCCTTCACACAATCAATTCCGTTTTCCCAATGTGGTATTCCATCACGAAGGACTCGACCTGCTGAGGTACCTAGCACAGATGCGACAGAAGACGTTGGAGAGAAAGGGAGCCCGTGCACCATACTTGCACTACATTTTTGCTCTTGTTGTTGGGTTTGACTTATCATTGTGTCTCAGATGCTGGTATTTTTGGCCGTTGCATCTATCAATCTATTGTAACTCACTGATGGCCCGTGAGCGAATGCTAGAGGTGTTCGGGTCTTTGACCCATTCCTGCTCAAATCTCTCACCCAAAGTCATGTTGATGCAATTGGTACTGCTTCAACCCCAAGGTTGTACAACCTCTTGCAGCTCCTTCTTCTACAGAGCTACCCTGGACTGATTCACGGAAGCTGACCCCAACACCAAGCTCGTTACTTACGCGTGCGTGAGAGACAATACTGTCAAAGTACCTAATTGGTGCCGCACTGCGGTCAATGGTACCCAGAAACACTAGACCGCTGGTGAAACGGGGGGCACGAAATCTGGAAGTTCGACGTGATGACCGCAGCCAAAAGCAACAACCTTGCCCGCGTTTTTCGGTGACGGTCCAGCCCGCAACAGAGTCGGCGAAAGAAAAAGAAAAAGCAGTGAACTGAGCTACTGGACTTCGCACCGAGAAGCGATTGGATAACCCATCTTAATCCCTTCAAAAGCCGGCCATGCCCGACAACTCTATTGGTGGTACATAGGATGTACATGTAGCCTCCCGTGGGGGGGCGATGCTGTTCAAGATCCAGATCCTAGCTCTGTCCAGAGCCCACATTGGAGCAAAGTCTCGCTACTACAACGTCTATCACACGCCCCCCTCCTATGGCCAGTCACTCAGCAGTCTTCCATGTCGTACTGTACGACCTGTGAAGCCTCCCGCGAAACGTTGGGATTGAGGTTTACAGCATACATCCGAGGGGAGTGTTTCCAGTTCGGCGTTGGTGATTCAAGCTTGTTTTTAGTCATCGAGCTCTAGTCGTTAGTTGACAGACTTAACTCCAACCATCCCCCTTGCCGACGAGACGCAACCAGGATAAAGGAATACTTATACCGAGTTTCTATATCAGGAGATTGAAGGGAGAATGAACTCAATAGCTCAGCGATACAATGCCTCCTTGCAGGAGCTAACAAGGGATGAACTCACGCAACCACAGCCTCGGGAAAAGCTGTTCAGGTAGCCAGGCCCTCAACTCCCTGTTGTCGGGTATGCAGCTGTCCGCCTCAGTGAATTGATACCTGATCTGATTTGATAAGGGATCTGTACTCCGTAGGCAACAATGATCTGACAAAGTTCCTCAGCTGGCTTGATCGCGCCAGGTTACGAACTCTGTGGTTAAGCCGACCCCTGTTAAGCTAATGGGACCCGGCTCTTAAGCCACTGTGAAGCGCGTCCATTACCCAATTGACCACAGGCAGATGAACCGCAAAACGTCTAATGTCGCGTGGCTATCGATCGCCGGCCCTATCGCTCCAGTCCATCTAGGAGTCATTCTGATATATCGAATATTACATATCCACAGTGCACACCTATAACCTGTCACAATTAAGGATTCACGAAGTCAAATTTGGATTTGCTTGTGGCAAGTATGTGTCCTTCATCATAAGAATGACAAAAGCAAACAATCGCTCTCTCCGGGCGTTGCGAATTGCTTGTGTAGTTTCCAAACAGGAGATTTTCCGAAATGACGTATCTTAGTTATTATCTTTGGTGCAAGGTACGATCTTGACTTGCATCCCAATCTCAGATGAGACAAGCACAGGAGATTGTGTAGGGTTGCCACCTCTTGATTCTCGGTAATCTCGAACTGTTTCGTTGATAGTGGACACTGTAGCAGTTTGGTGATCTATCTTGATTTATCCTTTTTCATGTGGTATATGAAGATGAATATGATATGCTTTTGAGAAGTGATACTTAGACATGAACCGCCTGAAGGCAATATGTAATGTATTGAACGGCTAGGGAAACCTTGACGTGATGAAACCCAACGTTGAATGAATTCACCGACTTCTAACGGGGCTCGTTGACACTGTTTCTGTATGCATGTATGCGCGCTTACATCCATATCTCTGTATCTCAAACCCGGCCAGGTGATCTGACTATCAAGTTTTAATGTTCTCAGGCTCTCAAGACCGACCCGGTTCATCTGAAACCGAGTTGCTGTGAATTTTACAATGGATATCATCTTGATGTTTTCAAAGCACGTTGTGGGTGTAGTCCTGGCCTTTGGACAACTCCCCGCAGGTACAGGGCAGCAAGACGAATACGATATTCCTGAACGGTCAAGACCAATTATAGAGTATCTACTGTAAGGGGCTTCCTTGCTCTGTAGTTGCCAACTGTTGACAAGGAGCCTCCCGGTCAATGATTGGGCACCAACAGGAAGATAGTCTAAGGTAGGTAGCCATGGCTGATCCGTAGTCTTTCGTCTTGGCAAGTTTGAGCAATATCATTGTATCTACTGCCTGACAGGCTGGTTAACGAAATGTTGAGGCTCTACAAGGGCAAGGATGCCATCCTTCTGGACGAACTCAATCGTGCTTTGACAGTGCATCCTTCAGACCGACATTCAACGCGAGTCAAACGCAAATGGAAAACAGACTGCTCATCCTGAATGACCGCTGGGGGGGCCTGAGCGCGCCCAGTAAGAAAAAAAATAAAAAGCAATCATGAGCCTTTAGCTCTCGAAAAAGCAAAAGCTGCAGCAAAAGAACCATGTTCATCTACGTATGGTCTGCATATTAAAACCCAAGCCTATAGGCTTACATCCGTCTGAAGATCCCGGCAATTTCGCATGGCGTGCCGATCTGTCGCAGTTAGTCTAAGCCCGTTGTTGTCTCTTTTGTTTTAATGCCATCGCGCCCTTACAGTATTAAGAAAAAAACCCATATCACATCGGACTGTGGAGAAGAGACAACTCCCACCGCACGCTACTGCTCTGATGGACAAGGCTGGGCTCAGGTGAGGCTTCTGAATGGGGACGGCCATGTGGTCTAGCGGAGATATTGGATGCCGCTACGCGGGACTAAGGTCCTTGGTCCGGGGCGGGAAGAGTGCATTGACGGTATTTCTCTTTTGAGGCTGCTGCATATTGTCCCCTACTGTACATACTGTGCTATGCTGTGCGGCGACGGAGGGGACACCGCTGGTTACGGATATAGGGGATGCTGACGGGGACGGGGATGAGGAAGAGAGGCCGACAGGACCGTCAATCTTGCTTGGCATCATCTATCCGTGACCCGTGCTGCCCCCTCCCGGTCCTGTCTACCTACAGTACCCTGCCTGACTCTGCTCTTGTCTTGTCTTGCCTTGCCTTGTGGGCGGCATCTGGAGTCTGGTGAGACACGGGAGTGTCAACTGGGGTATCCGCTGAGATCGGGTCTGTTATTTCGCTTCTCTAGCCTCCAGGTCATTACGATGCGTTAATTGTCGTATGCCTGTCGAAACTAATTTTGAACAGAGTTTAGTACTGTGATGGACTCCAAACAGTCTCGATCTAATGTACATGACCGAAATCATTAGATCACTGGATGGATGTGTTGCTACCCTAAGTTACTGCACGAATGGGGCGGATGCAATGCTCGATCTGCCCTGATCTACAGAACGAGGCTGCATGGTCAGACTTGCATTCTTTGCCTGCCGAGTCTCCCAATTAGTCTGCACTTCTCAATGGGGTTACTCCAAGTCTCTCAGATTAACCCCTCGTCGAATCTTCAAACCCGGTTCCGTTCAATGTAGGTAGGTATCATGTGCATCACTCGCCATATGCAAATGAGAAGAGGATGCTCCAAGATCAAACCTCGCAGATCTAACCTCAGTGTGAGACATTGCGTGCTATCGGTTGTGATTGGATTATTCACAATGCAACGACTTCGCTCACCGCCATCTCAACAGCGGAAAGGAGGGCATCCTGTTCGTTCTATAGCCTCACACATGGAACGAAGGCAAATGCGCAATCACCGAATGGGCAAGTTTTTTACTCTTGTTGAGGACTCTGCTTGATGCGCACATGACTATTCCCCTCTCTTGAGAACGATGCTACTGCGTCTGCAGTCAACTTCCCAAACCAGAGATACCTGCATCTGCGCTGCGGAAGACGTGGTGAACGTTGTTTTGTGAGCGTCTGTTCATGAGGCATTCAATTGTTCACCGCTACAGAGTTGACGAGTCTCGAATCGACACTTAAGCAGAAGAAATGAGGCACGAAACGTAGAGCATGCTATGCAGGTGTCATGCATCTGTTGCAGATGTAGAGCGCATCATTCGTCAGTCACCATGCACAGTTGGATGTCATGTTGAGGCTCTTTGGCGGTGTGGCTGTTTCTGTCGACGAGCATATGCTCAGGAATGTGTTGCTCAATAGTCTGACTTAGGCCAAACCTTGAACGTGAATACGGGAGCGAGAGCGTGAAGCTGGTGAGATTGAGAACAGTAAGGGGCTGTGACTGTGGACCCGGTACATCACCATCACTGACTGTTATCGAAATTGTCTAGACACGATGAGAACACCGTAGGGTAGTTCAAGCCTCTTTGAATAATGTGTATGTCTGTTGTTTGCAGTGGAAACGAGGCCGTGAAGTTGTGAAGCTGTGATGCTCCGCCGCTTGATGAAGCTGCTGAGAGGACGCTGTTGAAGACGCTTGAGATATCACATAAGAGAGCTTGTAGTCGAATTAAATGAATACATAAGAGCATGTACAACAATCTAGCGGTATGAAAAGAACAATATGCAGTGAACATCGAGTTTCGTTCCTTTTCAATGTGTCCTTCTCCGATGGTATCCTCATGAATGCTAGCCACTTGAAATACAGCCCCCAAGAGTGGTTTAGACTTACAAGCTGTATCTTGAGTTAACCAGGGTTAATAGACTGATTTGTTTGAAGACGTGCTACCTTTCAACTCCTGTTTCTAAAGCCATTATCGCGCGTCCCTGACATAGGCCGCACACCACAGTTATAGATAGGAACAAGGCAAATGCCAGGTGACAGCTCCGTCAAACATCAACGAAGAAGATATAGACCTCCATATATGTCTAAGTATCTTAATGCGACTGGATTGTATAGGAATTTGAGTATAGCTGTCGATACGGAGCTACGTTTGCCTGACTTACACTTGCGATAGGGTAAGTCCTGAAGAAGGACATCGTCGATAAGAGCGTTTTTTATGCGTAGTTAGTACTCTTGAGAGACAAAAAAAACCAAGAAAGAGATGTAGTTCAACATTGTTTGAGACGTAGTATAATCCAGGTTGTACGTGTAAAGTTTGCCCCGTTGTTGCGTGTTTGCTCTCTATAACGATAAGGTAATCACCTGAAGTGAAAAGCTGTGGCTCGCAACAGACTTCGTGCAACACTTTAATGGGCGTGAACTAAAGAGTTAACTCGATGATATGACTCAAAGACTCCGCTTGGGCCTATGTATAATAAACTTTGTGTGTTCTCACTTAACCTCTGTTGCAACCCTTACATCTGTGAAGCCATGAGCTGAAGCTCGAATGAACAAGCAATGAGGCTGGTATGACGCGACACAAACAGAGATGAACGAGTTATCATTAAAGAAAGAGGTGATCCTGGGTTGCCCTTCGGAAGCTATAAAAAACACTTCACCGCAATCTTCCAGGTACTGCTTCACAGGATTGAAGTCTGGGTCGGAGTGAATACAAGTCCCTTTACCATTCTTAAACTAGGCGGCATATAAAGTATCAACAAATGACCAGTGTTAAGTTAGACTTATTCATAAGATTGTTGCCTATGAGAGGTAGAGCTTGGTCTTGCGATGTAATTATGAGTGAATGTCTGGTCCCTCTTGGAACTCTCCTCCACATGACCCCTGGCCTGGACATTACACGAGATTTAAAGCTAAATGGTAACTCAAACTGTCCAAAAGTCTTGAGGAAAGACAGAGAAGGCCTCCGGATAGACCTGCAAGTCACTATCTCACTGTTTGATAGGCTGGAGCTCAAGATCAAAGCCCTGCTGTTTTGCCTAACTTACAACCGGAGCCTTTGTCAAACAGCACTACATATTTTCCTCTTTATAATACTCAACTCTTATAAAGGAGATGCGTGTATTTATGTTTCCCTTACTAATATGTACTTGCCGCGAACTAAGTGTGCATCATTTCAAGCTGTGAGTAGATGACCTACAAAGGCTGGGTAAACTATACTCTCGCCTCCTCCATGTTCATATGCATCAGTCACTTCCAGGTTCAAGTTTGACCTTTAGCAGGTTAACACTTCTTGCTGCCTGTTTTGTATCAAGTGAATGCATTCAAGCTGCCATATAAATAGTCCGGGTCTCCTCAGACAGCCTGGGAAGAAACACGAGACAACCTACAGAAGGAAGCCCTCACACTTTAATGATGACGCCTCCCCTCGACCCCATAGAGCCCATTAGGGTGCTAATCGGTTTTCGTGTGGAATGCCACGACTCCGACCCTAAATATGCCAGCAAACAGCAGATACAGCTGGAAACGAATGGCCGTAGTAGCTTAACCACCGAATGCAACATCCGGAAACAAGTCCCGAGCCCCTTCACCTCGCTTTTTCGATCCTGGGAGAGTGCCATCTAACAACGAGACTATTTGATCAAAAAGGGAGCTTACGGCGTCCTGATTATAGCAATCTGGTTGAAAGACCGAGTAGTTTATGATGCAGAAAATATGGCAATGTCCCTGGGCTATGTGGACTGCCCAGCCACACCCGACGAGGAAACAAGACAGCTGTATTTCCATAATGACGAGATCTTTATTACGGATGGCATCTCAGCATCCGAGAATAGGATACTTGCAGCTTTTGGAGGAAAGAAGAGCAAAGATGAGCCGGTACTGATATCAGAACTTACTATTGAGAAGCGAATGCTATTGTCTGAGTTGATGCCTGCAGAAGTTGAGCTGGAAGACGTTATCGGAAAAGGTGAAATTACTAAAAGGCTGGCGTCCGAGCTATTTCACCGCACCGGAGTTCTGGCTTACGGGCAATATTACCTTCTTGTTCGGGCAATCTGTGGACGTCCTCTTAGAGACGGGATAACAGAAAATGATCTTTCGCAACGGTAATCAAGAGTGCCATTTCGAACTAGAGGATGGAATGATGCAACATCACTCGACACAGCCGGCCAACACTTTGAGAAGATGGAACAATAAAGAACATATTGTATAGTGGTGGACGGCTATATTGATGGAAGCAGGATTGTGCTACATGCAAACACGAGATGAAAAGTCGCTAGTGCAATTGATGTCAAGTCAAGACAACTCATGGATCACTGAGTGAAACTGCAATACGCAACCGACCCTCATATTGTCATAAATGAAGATCTTTGTATTCATTCCCGACCACTACATTAATTCCAGCATCTGGTGAGTCATTCAGGTCCTGGTCGCTTATGAGGAGACAGCTCTGTCCGGATCGAAATCCTGAACCATGCCAAACATGGAGGAAATGAAGATGCCACCAGCTTCAGAAACATAAGAACGCCTAGCTGCGGGAGCCCATGGTATCCGACATGTAATTGTCAAATGAAAGGAACACTTGGATAACAAATTGTCGTTGTATTAAAGCTTCTAACGTGTTTTACAAATCTGGTGCCAAAGTTCATGAGTTTCTACCTTACCGTTGATATTCACTAGAGGTTCATGAAGTCACTTATCCAACTCCTTGATATATATATTACCGTTGAAAGGCTCGTTCTTATAAATAAACTTGATTTCATTGACCTGTTGTTTATTAAAAAAACCACGTGATTGTGTCATTACGTCCTGCAGAGTCACCTGTGCTGTGCGAACCTCCTAACCCAACAGATGAAGTTCTCTTTTCTCCCCATAAATGATAACTTGGAAACGATCAACACTCACAACCGAAACCAAAGCAATAAACTCCTTTCTTCAACATGAGCTATCCGCGAAAATTGCCAGAGGCCGTAGATGCACTGATAGGATTTCGCGTAGAATGCCACGACAAAAACTGTGACTTTGCCAGCCAGCACTCCATAAACTTCGGCAGCATTCGGCCTCGTTGTGGCATATCTGTCGTCGACTTCTGGCATGCCGCCGAGGACCATCTATCTTGGAAGCATATTAGAACACCATTCGTCTCATTCTTTAGATCATGGGAGAGGGCTTTGAACTGGAGGAAACGCCTTATTGAGAGAGGGGGCAAGGGAATCATGATTGTTGCGGTTTGGTTGAAAGACTTGTCTGGAGTCTACGATGCATACAATATCGCACAGCGTCTTGCAGCCCGTCAAGGACCGAACTCAAACAGCCGCCTGCGACGGAACCTTGATAATTGTCGTGGAGAACTGCTCGTTCAAGGTGGCATCAACTACATGGAATACAGAATCCTGGCCTGCTTCAAGGGCGACAGCCTCGAGATCGAAAGACGATCCATATCGCCACTGCTCAAATTCCCCGAGCACGAGCTTGTTGTATCTATTCCCAGAGGAACTCTGCCAATATACGGCAATTCCAATCTGAGCATCACCCATCAATTGGAGTACGAAATGCTGAGCCTCACGGGGGTTCGAAACGATGCCAAGCTGTGCGCACTGGTACTCGCAATGTGCGACTGCGAAATGGAAATGAAGGAGGAGAACAAGAAGATGACGATTAAGGTAACAGATTACTGCGGACACTACATGTCGAAAAGTGTAATTGGCAGATATAACTACTCTTTCGACATTTCCTATTAGCCATGTCGATGGCACTCTTATTTGGACGCCATGCAGTATTGGGTTATGAATGTTATTAGACATTCAAGCTGCAAGGCTAAGATAGTTATGAGTGCAGTCGGCTCGCTTAGAGAAAGATCATGCCACCTGTTGCGAGGCAAATGAATACAGCCGATGTCTCTGCAGTTCATGGGTGATATACATATCGCTCATATATGTAGCGGTGCAACTCAAAGAGAAGCCAAGACTGCTTGTGAATGCTTACGATGTATCGTGATATTTTACACTTATTCAATACGTACTCAGCTCATACAGCTGACCCCAACTTCATATCATGAACTCTGCCATCTAGGTATTGCCAGATTACTTGGTGATGCAACACAGTGCCGTGTCAGCACCGAAACCCTGAACCTCGCCAATGAGCTAGATAATTACACACTGGATGATTGGCTGATCAAAGAGCCATTCGACTCGGCATTACACCTCCGATGCAGCAACAAAGTTAAAGAGTGGGTTGTTGACATGTTCATTCTGTCATGTCATGGCCGGTTAAAAGCCGCATCCAGTGGAAATGAGGATCCCCCACTTTGAAGGACATTCACATGCTCAACAGATGGACTTGTCTTTGTATTTTGCTCAATATTTCTATTGTATGAGGTACTCTGTTAGCTACTAGGTATGCGATGAGTGATTGGGGATGAATCGAAGGCCAATTGAAGTGACTGAGTTGACATCATGATACATGATATGATGGAGGGGATATTGCTCATGATGTGCAACAACCCCCCGGCAGTCATCTTCGACTTAACAAGAGACCCCCACACACTCACCTATCAAAAACACGCGTCTATAGTAGGTAATACTCGGCATTGCATTCTGTTGGCCAGCATCGGCCGCTTTGCTCCGTCATGATATCAACGGGCTACTTTTACCCCTCACCTGCGCGCATAAAAAGATCAAGGTCGTTCCATTCTCAACTCTTCTTCCTTTTCTCTTCATCAATTCATCAACTCGACCTAAGAAACTCGAAAAAACCCAAGGTTTGTATCTGAATTGTATGAAAGGGCTGCTCTGACACATATGACATGCTAGATATCATAACCTGTACGGCCCTCCTAAGCTACCTTAGCAGCCATGGAGCCTTTCAGCGGTAGTCTTGTCCAGACCTGATTGGGACCTCTCAGGTAAAGTATCATGCATGAGCCGGTGCCCATTCTTTTCTCATCAACATGATCAGTCCAGACTGGTCGTGTTGATGATAGGGGGATGTGGCTGAGATTATACGGCAAAACTTGATCTGGATAATACCAGCGAAAGGATCATGTCATCTCCCCTATTGACCACCAGACTCTAACAACAACAGGCGCAAGATCAAAATGGCCCCTCCCGCTGCTGTCTCCCCTCCCTCTCGCTCTGCAGAGCTTGCTACATCTACCAAGCTCCCAGTCATGAGCAAGAACATCAACACCAAGACCGTTGAGGAGATGCTCGGTCAGTGGGATGACTTCAAGTTTGCTCCCATCCGTGAGAGCCAGGTCTCCCGCGCCATGACCCGTCGCTACTTCCAGGACCTTGATAACTATGCCGAGTCTGACATTGTTATCATTGGTGCTGGTTCGTGCGGTCTGAGCGCTGCCTATATTCTTGGCAAGAAGCGTCCCGATCTCAAGATCGCCATTATCGAGGCTTCTGTGTCTCCTGGTGGTGGTGCTTGGCTTGGTGGACAGCTCTTCTCCGCCATGATCATGCGCAAGCCTGCTGATGCTTTCCTCCGCGAGGTCGGTGTCCCTTATGAAGATGAGGGTAACTACGTCGTTGTCAAGCACGCCGCCCTCTTCACCTCGACCATCATGTCCAAGGTTCTTCAGATGCCCAACATCAAGCTCTTCAATGCCACTTGCGTTGAGGATCTCATCACCCGACCTTCCGAGGAGGGAGTCCGCATTGCCGGTGTCGTCACCAACTGGACTCTTGTTTCCATGCACCACGATGATCAGTCTTGCATGGACCCCAACACTATTAACGCTCCTTTGATCATCTCCACCACTGGCCACGATGGCCCCATGGGAGCCTTCTGTGTCAAGCGTCTCGTCAGCATGCAGCGCATTGAGAAGCTTGGTGGTATGCGTGGTCTTGACATGAACCTCGCCGAGGATGCCATTGTCAAGGGAACCCGTGAGATTGTTCCTGGTCTTATCGTCGGTGGAATGGAACTTTCCGAGGTTGACGGTGCCAACCGCATGGGTGAGTTTTATATGTTAATTCTGGTATTTGCCTCGTCTAACATACATAAGGTCCTACTTTTGGTGCCATGGCTCTCAGTGGTCTTAAGGCTGCCGAGGAAGCTCTCAAGATCTTCGACACTCGCAAGAAGCAGAATGATCTGTAAGCAACATCATTGAAGGTCATAGCTGGGAAATGGAATATGTGAATTCAGGATCCTGGACCTCGTCTCTCATTCGAGGCATGGAACCTTGTCATTCATTTAATCTGAGCGACTGGAATTTGGAAAACATGAACCCAGAGTCGAATGTCACTCAGAAGAGAAGCCAAGTAAAGCAATACTAAATTGAATAATTGCCTGTAATGACATTAATCTTGCTGTCGTGATATCGTCATTCCGTCCACTGGCAATACCATCACTTCTTATCCTCCACCACCTCTGTAACCTCAGTAGTGTCCTTGGCCTCATTCTCCCTTGTTGGAGGGAACTTCATTCCCCTGTTCTTATCATTCGGGTGTGCACTCGGTCCCCAGCCTCCAAGGCCATCGGCCATGGCAACTCCTCCAAGCCCAGAAATCGGTCCAGCTGTTACGCTACCCGCAAGTTGATTCTTTCCGACGCCGGGTTGAGTATCAGCCCATGCGCTGAGTTCATCGCGAGTCTTGCCCGTGTACTTCAGTACATCTTCATCGCTGAGTGGCACACTCTTTTTGCCGGCTTGGAAGCGCTCATACAACGTCTTCTTGTCCTTGGCTTCCTCGGAGGGATTTGATGATGAAGACGACGAATTGCCCATGTTGGTATTGCTGATAAGGAAGCTTCTGAATTTATTCGAGATAGTGTTCGTTGCAGTGAAGATGACTTGCTGTGGGGTAGTAAATATTATTACTTCTTAGCAGGTGAGCTTCTAGAACATCCGTATTTATAGAATTACTGAGGCGATTGGCCGTTGGAAGCTGAATGCCTAGCGTCACGAGGCGCACAGCGTATTCATACAAACAGGGCGATTGATTGACACCCTCAGCCCCTAAGGATCCCTGCCCTGTCATTCCGTATTCCCGATCTGGCCTGCGAATATCTGCAGGGCGTACAAGATCAAGGCAAAGTATTGCCGAGATCGAGTTATCCTATCCTGATTCAGCAAAGCTTCGCCTCGATTCTTCATCCTTCATCACATCTAGACCACCAAAACATTCTAGCCGAGTCAATAGGATTAAAGACCGTCCTAAGTGATAAAAGTGCGATGCAGGGCTCTTTTATGAGGTCCTTCTAGCATCTGTTTGCAAAGTCTGAAGCTTTTCTCCCTGGGGACTCTTTAACATTGCAACGCTTACAGAAGCAACTGCTTCACGGGGAAGATTCCTGATCATTTGTAACTTGGTACTGAATACACCTAGATTATATCTGTAGTGCCTCATGAGATATCAAAGCCTGCCGAATTAGTCTCATCTGCCACTAACATTTCCCCAAGCACCTAGTTCCTATCACTCTACTTGAGATACTCCTTCTTACCGACCCTCTCACAAACCTCCTTCAACACACCACCCAACCACTCATAATCCCCAATCTCCAAATAGACCTGTGCACTCGTCCTGATCCAAAACCTTCCACCATGTAGAAACAGCGCCACAAACGTCTTGTAATCACCAATGAGCGTATTCAGAATCCACTGGAACGCCGTCTGTGTCTCCTCCGCTGAGATGACAACCTCACCCTCTTTACCCTCTGCAGTCCAAACGGGCAACGCAATGTTGGCCATTCCACAATTTCGCAACGTGCCTGTGCTGTTCTCCATGTATGTCGTGCCTAGCTTCTTAGCTACCAGCTCGCTGCCTTTCTTGTTCAAGTCCCAGATATACTCCAAGATGGCATCTTCTCCGCCGAGAACTTCCTCTCGCCATTTGATAGCGTCTTTTACACAAAGATAGGGCGAGTTGTCAAGCGTGCCGACAAACTCAAAGTTGATGACGAAGGGAGATTTGGAGCTGGGAGGGAGCGGTGTGATGCGTTTCACCAGCTTGGGCACGTACCCGTGGCTGGTCGCGAGTGTCGTTTGAATAAGTGCCTGATTGCGCTTAGGTACGGAGAAGACGGCGCATCCACGTGGTACGTGAAGCCACTTGTGACAGTTGGACACGAAGAAGTCTGGGTCAGCGGCGGAGATGTCCAACTTCACCATCCCGATGCCCTGAGCGCCATCAACCATGCTCAGCACGTTGAGACGGCGACAAGCCTTGATCATTTCTTCCCAAGGGAATACAACACCTGGTCGAGAGGAGACGACATCAAACGTACAGATACGAACCCGCTTACCCTCAGACTCGATCTTCTTGACAGTATCTTCGAATTTCTTGATGATCTCGTCGTCATCGAGAGGGTATGTGAGCTCGATCTCACGATGAGTCACTTTTTCGTTGTAGTAGTCAACATAATAATCCGCGACCTTGCCGCAAGCTTCGTAGATGGTCGAGAAGCTGATGATGACGTCCTTTCCGTCTTCATTCCACTTCATGTTTCGATACACTGTGTTAACGCCGGTAGTGGCGTTGGAGACAAACACAACACTGTCCACTGGGGCATTGAGAAGCTTTGCGACAGCAGCGCGGTTCTCATCGAGGATTTTTGGATATTCATAGCGAATGAATGGATCAGGACGAGCTTCACTAACAATTATTAGACCAAAGACCAGGATCAGGCGATCGAGTGTCTTTACCTCGCATCCTGATACTCGCGGAATTTTGTTCGGACAGCCTGAGGATATGTGCCGAAGGAACCTATAACTCCTGTCAGTTTGAGG